CATAATGTTAATAAGTTTTATTAAATGGTTTTTGTTAGTTCATAACAGTGAGTAGATTGGAAAAAACAAGAATGGATTGCACACAGAAGGGATTCAGTGAAAACAGTGTGCAGCTCTTTTCTGTCTTTCTCTTCAGGAAGGAAGAGAGGGAGGAAAAAAAAGGAAAGGATTTAGTTTTAGATTTTAGACTTGTTTTTTTTAAAAAAAATTTACACTACCCAGAGTCAGAACTCCAAGATGGGCAGCAATATAAATTTGATAATACAGTAAATAAATATATAAATAAACAAGAGGAAAAAACCAGGGATGTCTTTGTAGCAAGATTTCAAAACAATGTCTGTTTTGATAGCCTTCAATGACATTCAGAAAGAAGGACTACTGGTCCATCAAGCAGCCCCACCAGAGCATCCAATCCCTCTTTCTGTGTTCCTCGCTGTTTACAATAATCCACCACTTTCACAAATGTGCCATGATTAAGGGTAGTAGCGACGGATGGCCTGATTCTCCATGAGTTTGTCCAATTCTTCTTTAAATCCATATACACCAGGGACGGTCACCATACTGATGGCATAAATTAACTCTGCCTTTAATTTAAAAAAAAGCCTTTTCTTTGAATAGAGGTGAATGTCCTGATGTTTCAGTTTTGCTGGAATGACTTTTTCTATATTTTGCATGCCATGCATGATGTTCCAGGCCTCTCTCCCCTCTCTTTTACTTGCCTACTCCAACATCATCATTTTGGTTGCTCTTGCGTGAACTTTTTATTTTTCAGGTTTAGTGACCAGAACAATGCCTAATAGCAACCTTGCAAAGCATTTCCTCCTTTTGGACATTAATCTTGAGATTATGGACAATTATAAAATAATCTTTATGATTATCACTAAAAGCAGCTGAATACAATTAGCCAAATACGACTTGTTCTCAATTTTAAGCTTTGGACTGATTTTTGTGTTAGTCTTTTCGGTGGAGTTTATGCTTTGTTTTCTGTGGATCCAGTTAATCATTATATATTCCTGCTGGGTTTGTCAGAGGCTGATTTATAAGTGAAATTTGCAGTCCTTAAATTCTTTTTCACTGATTTCACTCTGAATTTTTTGGTTTCATTTTTAAGAGGACTCTTGTGTTATTGTAAGTCATTAATCTTAGCCTTTTCTGTTCCAAATATTCCTTTTAGTTGAACATTCTTCTATGTGCTCTTTTTTATTTATTTTAAACCTATAGGTTTAACCAATACTGGCTGGGGAATTATGGGCATCGAAGTCCACGCTTCTTAAAGAGTTACATTTACTGCATGTTTACATTTTATTTTATTTTATTTTATTTATTTATTTGATTTGCCAATTGTTTACAAGATAATAAGTATAAGTGTATACATAGTTGTGAATACATGAAATGGGTACATATAAGAAAAATAAAAGAAGAATAAGAGAAACAATAGGACAGGGACGGTAGGCACGTTGGTGCGCTTATGCACGCCCCCTACAGACCTCTTAGGAAAGGGGTGAGGTCAATAGTAGACAGTCTAAGGTTAAAGTTTTTGGGGTTTGGGGAAGAAACTACAGAGTCGGGTAGAGTATTCCAGACATTGACCACTCTATTTACTGCATGTTTACATTTGCTTCCTGCTGGTAAATAAACCATAGTAAAGATTGCTAATAAGGAATATTGCCAAGGGAAGAAAAGTAGAAGTGAGCAGAGATCACAAAGAGCAAGAGAATCATGATCTCTGGAGTTTCTTTTCATGTATTTTACTTAATTGTACCAAGCTTACTAATGTAACCACAAGAACACTGTTTGCACGCTCAGTTAAAAATGGCAAGGGCAGGGCCCAGAAGGACGTAGTCTGTTAATGGAGGTGTATTAAAATGTGCACATGCATCATGTGGGCAGAAAAGTCACTGAACAGAGGAAATACACTTTACAGGAGTGCTTCCCAAAGAAGAAATCACCCAAAATTGGATAAAAGTGGTTTTTCTTGGTAATATTGTATGACCCCATCATAACAGGAATATTTAAACTGTCTTAAAGATTCCTCTAGGTACTAACTAATAAACTCTGTGAAATTACCAATGATAATTTGTTGAAATAACAAAAAATGTTCAATGATATTGATTTTATAATACAATGTAAAATATTTTATAATACCATTTGTTAAGTGACTAAGTTACAATGGTTCTGAAGGAAGGGACTTTTGACAGCCCTCAAAGTTCAACAATACTTTTTGCTAACACAGTTGTGTTTAAGTTCTTCCTTGTGACTGGGTAAAAAGCAGGGGTCACCAACCTTTTGGACCTCAGGGACCACCAAACTAATCATTTTAAATCCCGCGGACCAGAAACCCTGGGAAAATCTCCAAAAAAGTCTCCAGGAAAATTCCCCACCCTGTTTTCCTACCGATCGATCATTCTTTATTTGGGATCACAGGAAACCGTTTCCAGCTCCGTTCTCGGGGTGTGGGGGAGAGACTTTTGGCTTCATGCAAGGAAAGCAGCAGGAGCCGCAGAAGTCTTTCTTTCTCTCCCCCAAACTCAGCCAGAAATGAGTCTGCCAGTGCAGCCTCTTGGAGCAGGATGCCTTGCAGGGTCCCAAAGACTCATTTCTGGCAGAGTCTGGGAGAAAGAAAGGAAGAAAGACTTCTGCTTTCCTTGCGTGCAGCCAAAAGCAAAAGAAGAAAGAAGCAGCCTGGTGGCCAGGCACGTGGGGTGAGTGGGGCAAGTTCCCCCCCTCTGCCCTTTCCTCCCTCCTCTCACTACCTCGTGTTGTTCGCAATGCAAGCAGTGCAAACCTTGTGTTTCCGTGGGCCATGTGGGTGGTGCAGCCTTGTGTTCCCATGCAGCCTGGATTAATTGCTTTTGGGGATGACATTCTCTGCGGACCACCAAAATTTTCTCGTGGACCACCAGTGGTGTCTGGCCCACGGGTTGGCAACCACTGGGTTAAAGGGTTCTCTATCAGTTCTGAAGCCACTAAAAAGTATTTTTCCATAAAATTTGGGATTGCCCCTGGTGATCTCTGTCTTGCCACAGGCAAGATGCTGTCAATTGCTGCTATCCTCATTTATAGGGTGCAAGACATGTTAAGGACAAGGATGGGCAGATTCTTGCAGGAGATGATCAGGCCGAGCCCAAGGGAGGGGTCAAGCATGCCATCTGTTTTGATTCCCTTTTCACCCACAAGAAATCTACGTCCAGCCCCCCTTGAATTCAGCTGACTCTTTATCTACTGCCAATTTGCCTTGACCATTAGTAGTTCAGACTCTTGTTTAGATGTAGCATGAAATAAACTTATCTTCATTTTGGACCTAACTCTGGTCCCCAGTTTCTTGTGCCTGACAATTCCCTGTCTTCATTTTCCTCCCAAACATCACCAGAAGAGGGATGAGAGTTTCTAGGCAGGGAATGTGACAGAGGGACAGCGTGGTGGTTTCAACCATCTATCACCAGTCCCTCCAGTTTGGAGCAAAACTTTTGCCAGGTTGAATTCAAAAGGTGTCAGAGGAAGCTTATAGGTAGGCCTTGACTTAAGGAGACTGGCCAGTAGAGTTGTATTGTCATGGTGGTCATAAACTGAGAAGATTTTGCAACCTTTTTTGCAGTGGTCATTAAGTGGACTTTAAGGGTCATAAAATGAATGCCATTGTTATGAAGCAAACCCACTGTTCACAGTTTTGACCAAAAACTAGAAGTAAATTTCAGTTTTCAGCAAAACCATCATAAAGCATGGTTGCTGTGAACAGCTGTAAATGGACAATGTGCCTGAAGTATGTTCACATGACTGCTGGGGAGCAACCATAGAAACTTCAAAACTGCCTTTTTGCAGGTAGGTCATAACTTTGAATAGCCGTTAAGCAACATAGCATAAGAGTCTTGGCTCTTGCAATGTATGGTCCCTGTACCCAAGGCTTACATCAAGGCAGGGATGATTGTTGCGCTCCCTGGGACATGGACTTAGTGCCATCCGCTAAAAAGAACAGCTTGCACAATTAGAATGCAATCAGAGAAAGAGAAAGCCTTAGAATTGAAGAATAAAGGGGAATCAGCTTACTACGAAACATGGAACAAGTTTTACCAGTGGCTACAAAAAAAAGGGCAGGTCGTGGGGAAAAAAACCAGACAGAATGAATAGAACCAAAAAGCAAATACTGTATCAATAATATGAAAGTTAATGGTTTACAAATGTTTTTGTATGTGTGGTATATGTAACGCCAAAATGGCAGCACCGTTGTATATTTACAATTGTAAACAATAAAAAGTATATTAAAGGAGAGAGAAAGAGAGAGAGAGAGAGAGAGAGGCTCTGAACTGGGGGCGGTTGGTGCTCATTTCCTGCTCCATTTTAGAATTTGTAAATAGAGAGGAAAGGGGAAAAGCACTTGGAAAGCCCAACCGGTCTAAAGCTGAAGTGGAGCTGGGCTTTGGCAGAGCACAAAGCTACACATTCATAAACAACACACAATGCTCAAGTGACTCACCTTTTATTGCTGTTTTTAAAGTGTTTACCTTACCGCAGCTTCTCAAAGCCACATCAACTGGCATATAATAAAAATTAGTAGGCTTTTAAAACATAAGAGGTCAAAATAAATGAGGAACAGGTAAAAGAGACACATTGAGGAGCAACATTCTTTCCCTTGAGGTCAGTGCCCCTCCTGTGTCCTTGGCCAAGTCATGAGGACAGTCCAGAGAGACACAGCAGACAAGACCTTAAAGGTCACAAACGTTGATATGCAGCTTGTGAACCCTGTCCCTTGGCTGGCTAAACTTTGGGTTTGCCCTTCTTTGAACCTGCTGAAGAGAGACTGAAGTTTGTTCTCCGCCAGACCCTCCTTAGGCCTGTGAATCACCAAAAGGACACTGATTGTCAAGCAAGACATAGGTTGCTCTACACAGGCACAAAATCTACAGGTGTGCGCAATGGAACCAAGATACCCCCTGGTTGCTAACAGGCACAAGCGCCAAGCAAATATGCAATGAGGTGAAGGTCCATCAGCATAAGGAGAAGCGGCGGGAGTTTATATTCATGCGTGTGACTCCAATGTGCTTGAGAGGGGTAGACAAGAGGAAGGCCATCTTGGGAGGAATGTTGCAGAGCAAGTCCGAGTCCTCCTCGCAGCCCTCCAACTCAAAGGTGGCGTCATCCAGCATCTCTTTATGGCGATGGCAAGCCTGCTCCACTTTCAGCTGATGGATCTGGGCCCGCAGCCCCATCAGCTGCCGTGCCAGCTGGTGGTCCATGGCCTGCATCTTCCTCTGGAAGAAGAAACAAGAGAGAATTCACGAATGAAGGTAAATCTATCTGGGTTGCCTCTGTGACTATGTAGGACAGACAGGGAGGAACCACCAGACTGCAAGAACACAAGTGAGCAGTCAGATGAGGAGACCTGAACTCATTGGTAGCCTCACACTGCAAGTTCATACACTGCAAGGACATACATTCAATTTCACAGTTACTAAGATTGTTGGCCAAGCAGGTACAAAGATAGTCAGGGAAATGATTGAAGCCTTGGAATTGGACCCCTTGTCAGTTAAGAGGAATGCTGATTTACCACCAGTTTATCAGATACTTAGGAGCTGAAGACTTTGCAGCCCAAAGAAACCACAGCCAATTGCCAGCCATCAACACACCAATCAACCAGGAAGGCACCACATAAATACGACTTACAGAATAGCCCAAAGCAAATATTCCAGTAGAGAGAAATTCCCGGGAGATGGGCTCCAGCATGAGACCAAAAGCTTGGAAGAATAAACCTCTTGGCCCAGTGACCGACTGTCAGACCTGCCCCGTCTGATCCCTTAGGAAAGACAGACTCTCGACTCTATTAGGTTGAAGCAAAAGGTTCTTTTACTGAAGGAACTCGGTTGCACAAGCTAGCTCTAAGGTTCCCCTCCCTGAAAAAGATACGGAAAAGATCCCTGCCACAGTTCCCCCTGTGTTTCATCAATTGGAGATCGCCAAAATGTGATGAGAACACTGAAATGTGGCGGGCAATTCACGTTCCTTTCTCAGGGCGCATGGCCTTGGTGCCTCTGGTACAAACTGGTTCCGGGCTTCTCTGGTCTCCATCACCTGTCATTTCCCCCTATTTCCCATCACACACATACAATCATATTGCCATTTGTCGCCTCCTCCCCCCTGTTGTGGTTCACCGGCAGCCTGTGCAGACGGCAGCGGAATCGGACAGTGGGGGAAAACGGGGACCAGTCTGGGAGTCTGGAGAGGACTCGGACGAGGGTCCTGCATCTGATATAGAGATGGGCCAGGACCATCTGGGAGTGGGTGCTGCCTTTGGAGCCTTTGGAGTCTGGCAGCAGCGAGGCAGAGGAACAAGGGGAGCCTGTTCCCAGTGTGCGTGTGCACAGAGCTGCTAGAAGGTGAGACCAGCTGAAACAAAAGGGGCGACTCGGGAGTAAGGCTGGGAGGTGATTGTCCCTCCCATAAGGTATAAAGGTCAGGCCAAGATGATGAAACCTTTGCAGGAAGCAAAGTAGTTTGATCGGTTCAGAGTCATTCTTGAAGCTCTTTGTACTTCGGTTGGTTTTTTTTCTAGTTCATTGGACACTTCTGTTATTGACAGCACTTCACAGGAAAGAAAGGTGGGTGCTTATCTCGAGGGACTGTTTGAGATTCATTACCGGCTGGGAATGAAAATAATTCCCAGCATTGCAATAAAACAAGACTGGTTTTTAAAATAAGCATATGCATAATTACGGTCTCGGAAGCCTTAATCAGAACACCCCCGTCCAGCCTTTGATGGCAGGAAGTGACACCCAGCCATATTCAATTTTACGCAATACTCTGTCCCCCTCGTATTTTCCCTACAACAACAACACTGTGAGGTGGGCTGGACTGTGAGAGTGTGACTGCCCCAAAGTCATCCAATCTAAGGCAGGACGAGAACTCATGGACCCCTGGCTTCCAGATCAACACCTTAACCACTACATAAATTTGGGTCTTAATGTGTTGTAATTGATGACAGAAGTATCTAACATCCCTCACTTCACTCATGAAAGCATTCTAAAATGCCTGGATCCTAGCATAGGGTCCTAGGAGGAGGAGGAGAAGGGAAAGCCAGTGACATTACCCACATTGTGATGTCCTCCCACATATGATCAAATTCTACAACTGGTATGAAGTTGACAAATTGCCTGATGATTCCATGGCACACATGACCTCACTTGCCTCCCCCTGCAGACATCAAGGGTATTGCTGGGACTGCAAAGGAGAGCAAATGACATCAGCTGTGTCGTTGCACAAAAATGGTTCACGTGAGATAATTATGCTTCTATATTGGACCCCTGTAGATTCAACAAATTAAAACAACTTGCAGTTCATTAATACACTTTGGAGCCAATGAAATGGCTGATTTAATTATGTAGTTGCTGCCAGGGGGAGGTAGGTTAGAGATTTTTATGAATTTTAATTATATGATGGAATTTTTAAAATTTTGTAAGCCTCCTGGAGTCATTTATGCGTTGACTTGGGCAGTTATATAAATAGACAGATAAGAGAGAGAGAGAGAGAGAGAGAGAGAGAGAGAGAGAGAGAGAGAGAGAGAGAGAGAGAGAGAGATGTTTTACTTCTATCCATCAAGCAGTTTAAAGTCAACCAGGCATAATGCAGATAGGCCACTGAATCGCCAAACAGAGCCAAGGATTACTGACATAGCCTCTAGGGACAACCTGGTTTCTTGATCTGAAGGGGGTTAACAAATTATCTCCAGACAGAAGGGTGAACAACTGCTAAGCCCACAAAAAGGGTATGGCAAAAAATGTCAAGGTAGTGGCTTTTACAACTGAAATTCCACGATGCACATAAAAAGGAGGGAGAGAGCTTTCATTGCACCATTGCAGCTCCTATCTTCCCTTTCCTGACCCAGCAGACACACCTGTTCACAGAAGAGCAAACACAAATGTAATGTAAAACATGTACGTAAATGTAATAACACCCACCAGTTCAGCTGCAGACTTTGCTTTGAACCGTAGAATACTCAAGACAAATTCGCCCTTTCATTTTCACTGCAGTAGGGTTTCCCAACCTTGGTCGCTTTAAGACTTCAACTCCTAGAATTCTGGAACTCATCTGAAAGCTGGCAAGGTTGAGAAACATGACTGTAGGTTAAGAAAACTACAGAGAGCTATACATTTATTCTTCAGGGGTTGATGTATAGTCTCCATCAAGTACAGTCTCCTGACTTTCTAAGACTCTGCTCCCAGAAAGTGGTTTCCTGAGCTACATCTCTAGGAAAAGTCCTGTTACTAGCACACAACAAATATACAGTATATTGTCACTGCTGCCAGCTACCTTACATTGCTAGATTGCACCCAGCCATTGGAAAGCTTTCTCTGTTGCCTGACACCATGCTTTCCCCTCTGCAGTCTTGGATAGTAAATATAAAAAGCACTATTGGCTGAACGGCTTTGTGCCTATGATTCCAAAGACTTGGAAACTCGGAAAATGTTCTTCTTCCTTGTTCCTTTTATGGAGCAGATTCCCAACCAGATTCTCTCTACCTATGATTAGTAGTGATCTTGTTCGCCCAGGTTCAGCCTATGTCAAATGCTGCTGATAAATGAAGTGTCCCTTGTTACAGCACATGTAGCTAGGTTTTATGCAGCAGTAGGGAAGTTCCATTGTGCCCCGATGAGCCCATTTATTTTGCTAGCCAAATGTAATTGTAATTCATCTAAATTCTAGATGTTATCACTTTTTTGGAATTTTAAATGATATTACATGTAATATAATTTTAGTATCTACATTATAATTTAATATAAACTGCATCATGGACCTCATTCATCGATGTTACTTAGATCGTTTTAGAAATGTATTTTAACGTTATCTTAAACTTTATTTTGCTTTTTATCCATTTATCTAGCTACCTTTGTCCAGAATGGTATAGGGCCTCCTGCTTTACTGGCTGAGGAATTCTGGGAGTTGAAGTCCACAAGTCTTAAAGTTGCTAAGGTTGGAGACCCCTGGATTAGAATATCTCCAAGATCCCTTCCAAACCTGTAACTCTATGTTCTACATTCTAAATCTATTTATCTTTACAGAGCACTCTGCTTCTATTTGTCTAGAACTGTAATAAATGAAAACTGAATAAACTGAAATGTATAAACTGTCTAAATAAACTACCTAAAATTGCCATGGATTCCCCATTGCTAAAATATCTTGCTTCTTTTTCTTAAAATAAGGGAATACAGTCTAACTACATACAGTATTGAGAAACAACTGCTGAGTTTCACATTACTGCCATTTATTTACTCATTGAATATTGCCACGTTTTAGGAAAAAATGTTGGTAAATAACTAAGACTTTATTAAGTGTTTATTTTTCTTTATTCATTTGTTTACTTGACCAGCAGATGCACCTAAAATCCATGGTAGTAAGATGCAACAGTAGCAAAGATCCAAGAGGGACCAAATAAACCCAACAATTTGTGCAAGATTTAAAATATTTAACAGTTTTAAAAGACCTCAGCAATATTTGCTGCCATGTCCTCAGAGTTGCTAGGCAAAAATTTAGCAATTTTATAGTCAACAATGGCCATACAATGGCCAGAAGAAAAGGCGTTGGTGCTGCCAACTAATAATTTACAAGCAGCCAGAGATTCTAATCTAGTCTTAAGCACACACTTTCTCCAACATGGCAAGCTACTCCTTTGCTAGGAGTATGATAGCAAAAAGCTGGAAGCAAAACTAAAATCAATGATATAGATCTATCACAGTCACCATAAAATGGCTCAATCTCAAAAACAGCACTTTATGGCCATAGTATTCGGATCTGTTTTCTGTTCCGGAAAGTTTTCAGTTATATCCAACCACTTGCCCCAATATGTCAGGAGGGTACCAGGTGAGGAAGCTAAGTTGGACTTGACAGTTTTCAAAGCATTTCCCTACCAAACACTTCCCACTTCTAATAATCATAGGAGACCAGGTGTGTCAACGATATCACATGTGGCATTGGCATCATGATCACAGTGCAATGTTGTCATTGTGGCTTCAACTAGATGCCAGTCCTTCTCAGACAGGACTCTTAGTCACTCATTTAGCAGAAGCAGAGAAGCACACTTGTAAAAAGCTACTGGCCGGGAGGTGGTCTTTGAAAGATATTGACCTAAAGGGTTTTTCTTCTCCACCTATGTTCTCCAGAAGCCCACTGCCCAAAAAAAACAGCAGAGATTAGTTTGAAGGGATAATTAGCAGATGCTCCTGGTTGGAGATTGAAAAACCAGGATTTTGCAGCCCTGTCTTCCAGTAGATTTCATTGACATTAATTAAAATTGCCTCAAATATAGCTTCCCAGTAGAACTATCTGACTTTGTGACCCTTTTAGGCCAACATCTCTCCTCCCGAGAACCTACTTACCAGTTCCATCCGAAGCCATTCAAAGGCCATACCCATGTCGGGGAACCCACAAACAGACTTCAAGGGTCCCTGGGCCTGATTCTCCTCTCCTACTGTCTCTTCACCCTGTTTCTCCAGGTGGGTCTTCAGAGCTCCAGCCCGCAGCCCATTTCTCCAGGAGGGACTTTGCACATGGGCTTTCCACTCCAGGTAGGATGGGCGCCGTGTCTGTAGCTTCAACTTTGTTGTCAAGGCCTTGACGCTGTCTAAGTTCTCCTCTTCTAAGATCGGTTCATCTCCCCCCAGTTCCTTGAACCTCACCAGGGCCATGGCAGAGGTGCCAAGCCCAGAGTGTGTCTCCACAGAGGAAAAAAATAACAAACTCACTCTTCTCGGTACACACGCTGCATATATGTGTGCGTGTGTAGAGGAAAGCTGTTTATTCTTGAAACAATCAAGTCCTTGGAAATGTAAAAAAAAAAAGCAGGAACTTTAATTATTCAGAGGTTTTTTTAAAGTATACTATTATTGTCTCCAGCTGGGAGGAGACACTCTATTCTTTTGAAAGGAAGTTTCAGCAGGAACATAAAAGTCAGCAAGAGTGTAAAGTAATTTATCCTGCGTGGGCACTGCTTCCTTTTCTTATCATCAGCCAAGAAGAGTCATGGATCCTCCACCCAAGTCTGAAAATGAGTTGAAAAGATGAAAGGGCAAAGGGCTTTGTTTTTTTATTGAGCCAAGTTAAGCTTTAGCTAACCAGAGGCCAGGAGACCTTGATTGGGGCACTGGTCTACCCCATCTTCTCAGCCCTCTGGGCCTGCCCCAGTTTTCCTATGCCCATGACTTCTCTTTTAAGTACAAACCCCTGGGACAACAAGGAAGGTAAAGCAGCAGCTCCTCCTGCTGACTCCAATAAACCGACCCACTTGATGCACTTCCGTATAGTGTTGGATTCTCCAGTGAATCCTGTGGACTGATGGCCATGGAAAGACAAATAGAGGCAGGGTGCATACTAGAAAGTCACCAAGGCAGACACAGCAGTTTCCAGGAGGGTGAGGGTTTCTGCAGATGGTGGTCACAATGGTGCTATCAAACCCTGCTTTGTTTTCATGTCAAATGCAATTTCCATCTTTCCTTTTGTTGACCTTGCAGATCCACCAGGTAAGAAAACAAAACAGTCTTTCTGCCTTTGATCCATCTTTGAGAAAGAAGGACCCATGGCACTTTGGCCACCCCTGCCATTTACCAAACCTGACCATCCCTGAGCTGCCAGTGAACCCCAGGCAACAAAAGAAAGGAACTCTTAAGCTTATAGGTTTATATTGACACCTGGGCTGAAACTGACAAACTGAACCAGATGGATATTTCTTCCAACAATTTGGCACCCCAAGGCAGGACTCCAAGCTAACCTGAATAGGGGATCTGGCGTGGGTAGGCGTCCCTTGCCGGCAGCAGACCAATCGGGTCTGTGGGTGAGTTTCCCCAGAGCTTGGCCGTTTGGTGCAAGGGTAGTGAAGGGAGTTTTGAGCGTTGAGCACAAAGTCTGCTTGGAAAGAAGATGAGTACCTGCAGGGATGGGATACTACCGGTTTGGACCGGTTTGGGTGAACCGGATGTTAAAGTTACAGCTGGTTCACCAAACTGGCATTTCAACCAACCGGCTGGCCCCGCCCCTCCCTCCCCTCCCAGGAGTCTCCCCGCAGCCCATTTGTGATGGAGGTAAGTTCAGGGTTCGCGCGGAGGCTCTGGGAGGGGGGAAAAATGGGCCTTCTGGAATTCCGGAAATGGGCCTGTTTCTGGCTTCCAGTGGGCCTCCAGAGGCTGGGGGGGCTGTTTTCACCCTCCCAGCGGCCTGGGGGAGGCCTCTGGACCCTTGGGAGGACAAAAACAGCCTCCCCCGGGCTCTGAAGGCCCACCGGAAGCCGGAAACAGGAAGTTCCAATAAGCCCCGCCCACCATGGCCACGCCCACCCACCAACCGGGCAGTGAACCAGTCGCTGGGATTTTTGAATCCCACCCCTGCAAGAGAGGAAAGCAAGCACCTAGGAAAGGGCAATGCAAAGTACTGAAGTCCAACCAAACATTACACAGGACTTTTTGAATGAAAGTTGTTCTGAAAGATTAACAATTAACAATTATACAACTGCAAATGGGGAACTTTCTTCTCTAAAGCCTTTCTTTACCTAAAAGAGGGGTTTGGTTGTTTTACAAAAATATTTATTTTTATTTGTTTGATTACTGTATATGTAGTCAAGTCATTTTTAACTCCTAGGAGCCACGTACAGTAGATAGATGTTCTCCATGACAATTTACCCTCAACCTGATTTTTCAGATCTTCTAATACTGCACCCACCCCCACTGCAATTCATCCATCTTGCTATTTTATTTTTCTTTCCCATTCATAAAGGCTGGTTGGCTTACAAATAAAAAATAAAAATACTACAAACATAGTAACCCTAAAAATAGTCTTCCTCTGAAGTAAACCTGGTAGGTTTCCCAGGGCCACTGCTGCTTTCCCACCTACCTGGGATTTTCAGTCCAGATCTAAAATTGTTGGGCAGGAACAGAACACTGGATCACCCTACTGTGGCCTTGTTGAACGAAGATCGGCTTTTAAAAGAGACAGTGGCACCTTTTTTTTCTAGGCATTGCCTTCACAAGATTGCAATCGCAATAGCACTTAGACTTACATACTCTTTCACAGTGCTTTACAGCCTTCTCCCAGCATTTTGTCTCCAAATCATCTGGCTTCTCATTTTATTAACCTCAGAAGGATGGAAGGCTGAATCAATCTTGAGCTGGTCAGAATGCAAAGACTACCACCTCTCAGTTTGAGCTATTGTTTTTATTTTGGTGGTGATGGTGGTGATGACTTCTGTGGTTTGGGAAACCCAAACACCATTCTTAAATTTAGAAACCAGGGGAGATCAGAAAAACCAAAGAGGACCAATTGGTCAAAGCTCTGTACTATTTAAAGAAAAGGATAGTTCATCACAAGGCGGCCATATTAATCTTTTTGTCCCACAAACACATCAAAGGCAATGCTGTTAGAAACTTTTGCTAGTACTTCTCAGGATCTCTGTCTCAGCTTCCTGTAAAATTGCAGGATATTGCAGAGCAGCATTTCTCCATCTCAGTGGGGGATTCTGGGAGCTAGAACATCCAGGAGAGGCAATCCTATCTGGGCAAGTTTTAGATGTTTGCTTTGCCACTCCAATACCTGTGGGAGATTTAGAAAAAGAGATGCTATCTGCACCCTAACTGTCCACTCTGAAGATAAAACTGCATTAACAAAGTTCTCTCAAGCATTTCAAGTGGACAAATTGTTCCATTCCTGGCCTTATCTGATTTCCTTTGAAAGTCCAAAGGCACAGCAACTGTTTAGACTACCACAAAACCAAAACAACAATGTGCCTCATGGCATCTTCAAGTTGAATCACCTTTTGATAGCAGAGAACTCTAGCCCATGAAAATATGCTTCTTTTTAGCCATGATGGTTGTAGACTATGGGTTTAATTCTGTGACTCGTTGAGTCATTTTGAGAGGAGGTCTGCTGTGACCAGAAGAAACATGAAGTTTTATGCTGACAATATTGTTTTTACTCCAGTGCTGGATAGTGATTATATCCACTGTGATTATCTACAAAATATACAGTATATCATGAATAGAAAAATAATGGTAGTGGCAAACAAACTTCAATGATAAATCAACAACTGCTTACTTAAACAGATAAACAGAATTACCTCTTTCAGGAAAAAAAAAGCCAGTGGAATTGGGAGTGATTTTTGACTTCCTGCCAGCTTCCCCATTGACTTTGCTTGCAGGAAGCTGGCAGGGAGCATTTGAAGTCAAATCACCTGGCCCTGGGGATGCCTGAAAAGCCACAACTTCGTCATTAAAACCAATCTGAAGATTGTGGAAATTTCAATTCCACCCAAGTAATAGGTCCTGGATTTTTTTTACATACTTTTAAGTTAGTTTTTAAGTTAGCTTGTTAGGATTTTAGGTGCCTTGATTTAAAAATGGTTGTGGTCTAAGGCATTATTGGGTTAACCTGAGGGTACAAACAGACAAACAAACACAATAAGAATGATTGTAGTGCATACAGTCATAAATAATTCTGTAAGTTTGGCTTCCATGGGCTCAAGAATTCTTTCCAGCACTCAGGTGATGGGTGAATGAACCCTGAGGGCAAAAGCAGAAAGCATCTTTCACTTTTTTGGAACAGCTCAAAAACAAACTCCCCACTATCTTTTGTAAACATTTTATCTTGATGATAAATGTTCTGGGTTTGTGTGACATACTGAACTTTACACCACCCACCCAGGTTGGATTCCCACAGCATAGCTGCTGGTCGAACATCCAAACATCCCTCGAGGCAAGGAAAAATGTGCTATTTATTAGTTTGAGAAGAAGGCCTCCATTTTAACCACCATAACAAATCCTCCCTTGAAATATAGAATCCTGTCGATGGGAAGTTCAGATGGGGTGGGGGGTGGGTAAATCCATGTGGGGAGCAGAGGGAGAGGCTTGCTTTTTCACAGGAGATGGGGAGAAAGTGGGGAAAGATCTAAGAGCAAATGTAACTGGCCACAAACATTTTTGTCTTCAAAATCCAGTCTCCTCTGTGTACATCTGGAGTGTGAGGAGTAGCACCCATCTGGACAACACCCACAATGCTTCATCATGAATGAACCATCTGGAGTCTTCCCATGTATGGTGGACAAGACTCATCAATTGCAATCTTTTATTGTCAACAGCAAAGGGCTATTAGAACTGTCTTCAACCCATCCAGAGAACATCAATGCCTTATTACAGGGGTCTTCAAACTTGACTGCTTTAAGACTTGTGGACTTCAACTCCCAGAATTCCTCCTCCAATCATGTTAGCTCAGAAATTCTGGGAGTTGAAGTCCACAAGATAGATAGATATACATATACATGTACATGTACATGTACATGTACATGTACATATACATATACATATACATATACATATACATATACATATACATATACATACATACATACATACATACATACATACATACATACATACATACATACATA